GCTTCACAAGCGAAGGAAAAATAAAATCTTTTGTGAACAAGCAAGTACTCAGAGATTTCATCACCACCAGGCCCGCTTTATAAGAGCTTCTGAAAGAAGCACTACACATAGAAAGTAAAAACCAATATCAGCCTTTCCAAAAATATACCAAAAAGTAAAGAGCATCAACATAATGAAGAATTTACATCAACTAATGGGCAAAACAGCCAGCTAGTATCAAATGGCAGTATTAAACTCACATATATTATTATTAATCTTAAATTTAAATCGATTAAATCCCCCAATCAAAAGACACAGCCAAAACCCATTGATATGCTGTATCCAGATCCATCCCACATGCAAGGATATGGAAAGACTCAAAATAAAGGGATAGAGAAAAATTTACCAACCAAATGGAGAGCAAAAATAAATAAATAAAAAGCAGGAGTTGCAATTCTCACCTCTGATAAAAGAGATGTTTAAAGCAACAAAGATCAAAAGAGGCAAAGAAGGACATTACATAATGGTAAAAGGATCAATGCAACAAGAAGAGCTAACAATCTTAAATATATATACACCCAGTGCAGGAGCACCCAGATACATAAGACTTATAAAGAGACTTAGACTCCCACACAATAATAGTGGGAGACTTTAACATCAATATTAGACAGATCAACGAGACAGAAAATTAACAAGGATATCCAGGACTTGAACTCAGATCCGGAACAACTAAACTTAATAAAAATTTATAGAACTCTCCACTTCAAATACACAAAATATACACTCTTAACAGTACCACATCACACCTACTCTAAAAGTGAAGTAAATCATTCCTCGGTAATTGCATAGCATTTCACAGGTTTAAATGAAATATTGGTTGGCTGCTTGTTTGTTATTTTCTTCCCTCATTTCTTCCTGTCTCCATTATTAAGCACAATTATTGGCATAAAAGAGGTTTTCAATACCCATTTTTAGACTGCATTCTAGCCTGGGCAATAAAGCAATACTTCTGTTCTCTCTCCCTCTTCCTCTTTCTCTCTTTCATTCTTTTTTTTTTTTAATTTCTTTTTATTTTTTTTAAATATATATATTCATGAATTTCAACAAAAATTGAGCAAAACAGAATTTTTGAAAAAAAAAAAAAAAAAAGATAACTGCAGCTCTCCCACTGTTAGACCCTGACTAGCTGACCCTCACTCCCCTGTTCCACAAGCCATAACTACAGCTTTGATTGGACAAGAGGCTGATTTCAGTAACTTTCTCCTGACTAGAGCACTGACCATGAACTGGTTGTGGCCAGTTTACAGAGGTGTACACTTGAGTGCTTTCCTATCCCTGCTTCACCACCTGACTGCAGTATCTAATTTTAATGCATTTAGATGTTAAGTCTCCATCCCCAGGTGAACACGTACAGTATGTAACATACATGTTATTCAGCCTGCATGTGCATGACCTTCCCCACTTTGTGCATATTCATAGCTCCTCCTAAAAAAAAGAAAAAAAAAAAAAAAGAAACTCTAGCTAAGATCATTGAATGAAGGTGGCTATGCTAAACAACAGATTTTCAGTGTAGATAAAACAGCCTTCTATTGGAAGAAGATGCCATCTAGAATTTTCATAACTAGACAAAAAAGTCAATGTCCAACTTTAAAACTTCAAAGGACCCATTGATTCTCTTGTTAGTGACTAATGCAGTTGGTGACTTTAGGTTCAAGTCAATGTTCATTAACCATTCAAATAATTCCAGGGCTCTTAAGAATTATGCTAAATCTACTCTGCCTGTGCTCTATAAATGAAACAACAAAGCCTAGAGGATAGCACATCTGTTTGCAGCATACTTTGCTATTATAAGCTTGCTGTCGAGATGTACTGCTCAGAAAAAAATACTCCTTTCAAAAATTTACTTCTCACTTATAGTATACCTAGTCATCCAAGAGCTGTGATGAAGATATGCAAGATTCATGCTGTTCTCATGCTTGTTAACATAGCATTCCTTCCGTAGTCCATGAATCAAAACTTCTAATTTGCAAAGTCCATTGACTTTCAAGTCTACTTAAAAAATATATTTTGTAAGGCTATATCTGCCATAGATAGTGAATCCTGTGACAGACCTGGTCAAAGTAAATCAAAAACCAATTTACTTTGTCAAGTCAAGTCAATCAATGTGGTAATACCCACTGCTGTCTTATTTTAATAAATTGCCACAGACATCCCAACCTTCAGCCATAATAAAGGGTCATGCCTGGATGTTGATGGTTGCTGACTGGTCACCATGACCCTGACTAGTCAGCAACCATCAACACACACGTAAGACCCTTCACTATTAAAAGGAGGCCAGGATGATGGTTTATGCCTGTAATCCTAGCACTTTGGGAGGCAATGGTAGGCAGATCTCTTGAGCCCAGGGGTTCAAGACCAGCCTGGGCAAAATGGCAAAATCCTGTCTCTACAAAAAATATAAAAATTAGCCTGGTGTGATGATGCATGCCTGTATTCCCAGCTATTTGGGAGGCTGAGGTAGGAGAATCACTTGAGCCCAGGAAGTTGAGGCAGCAGTGAGCCATGAATGCACCACTGCACTCCAGCATAGAAGAGAGAATGAGACCCTGTCCCCCCCAGTTCCCAAAGAACCTCCCTTTTTCTTAGCAAACTATTTTAAAATTAAGGTATATGCATTGGTTTTAAAAGACATAATGCAATTACACACTGAATAGATTAAAGTATAGTGCAAAGATAATTTGCATATGCACCGGGAAAAAAATGTATGGCTTACGTTATTGTGATAGTCTGGAACCATACTTACAATATCTCTGAGGTATGCCTGTAGCATTCTTATAAATCATACCTATGTTCAACTGCCTTTCTAACCTCTAAAAGTTTTTACCAGTGTAACTTTCCCTAAAAACATGGAAAATAAAAATGAAATAGCATTTTGGATTAGAATGATAAATATCTGTGGCTTATTAATTACATGTTCACAAATAAAATAAAATTAATAAAGAACAAAGGGCTTGATTCTTAATAAAGCTATCTTCCACCGGTATATTCTACTGGTTAAAGAATAGCTGCAGCTCAAAATAAGATATATGTGGATGAGTTAGAAAGGTATATGTAAGAAAAAGAAATTTGATAGTATAGTCAGTCTTCTGTATCTACAGGGTTTGCATCTAAAAATTCAAGCAATCTTGGACTAAATATATTTAGAAAAAAGACAATAAAAATTACATGACAACAATAAAAATAATCAGAATAAAAAAATAAAGTATAACAACTATTTATGTATTAGGTAGCATAAGTAATATCAAGGTGATTTAAAGTATAAGGAGGATATATGTGTGTTATATGCAAATACTGCACCATTTCATATAAGGGACTTGAACATCCCTGGATTTTGGTATTCATAGGGGGTTCTGGAATCAATCCCCTGCAGATACCTAGGGACAAATGTAGACTGCTTATGAGGACGCATGGTTTATGGGAATATTTCTACTAATTAAACAATGGTCAATTTTTAGTAGTTTTTAAAAATACTTAAGTGGATTATACCAAACTAAGATAATGTTTGAATAATATTTAAAATGCAATTCTAGGAAAATAAGTTTTAGAAACAGTTAATAAAAGTGCACACAGGGTTATAAGAAAGAATTTTCTGCTTCTGAGAGCTGTTATACTAAATTGGCTTGCTGAAGGAAGCAGTGGAATCTATTTCTTTGAAGATCCTTACAAACACAAGGCATACATTATCAGCAGTTCAGAAAGGTTTAGGTGTATCTCTGCCAGAAAACAGCCAGTGGATATAACCACTTCATGGTTCCATAAACTCTGGTGACTGCATAATAATACTATTGTTATAATTGTGAGGCAAAGGCAACACAGCTGCTTTTTCTTTGGCGAACAGGATTTGCTGTCCAAAAAGTTGCAGAATAAATTGAATGTAATTAGATGAAATTTTCCCCAACAGAAAAGCAAGAATTAATTTTGACTCTAGTTACTGAAAGAAAACTCAGAATCTCTGCACTGGGCTTTTTAAACATTTATCATCTCCTTTATTTATAGAAAGCATTCCTCTTATGTGAAACTTAAAAAGCAGACACGTTTTTATGGATGACCTTAGGCCAGTAAGTTGAATTAACACTAAATAAAAAATTCTAAGCATATATATATATAGTTTCCTCACATAAAATCCCCTGAAAGATTACATTTTAGTGAATTCAACTTAAATTTTTAAAAGTTTATGTTTTCATTTAACTTTATTTTCATCTACTTATGTCTTTACTTTTCATGAATGTGAAAAGAAGGCAGATTCCCTAAACACTTAAAATATATGGTCAATTTCTTTCCAAGTGAGCTTTTCTTTTAAAGGTAATGTAATTAATTTGAAATTTGAAGGTGGCATTGTGGTCCACAATCCTTGCCCAAGTGCTCTTTCAGGAACAATAGGAGTTGTCACAGAATTAACTAAAAGTTCAAGCAAATATTTTGATGCAGAATTCTCACAAAATATAATGCTGTGAGAGTTGCAAAGGGATGGCTTCCCAAGATTTTGGAGCACTTTAGATTAGTTGTTAAAGAAAAGGGAGGAAAAATGCTGGAATACCTTTAACTACATAAAATTCATAAATAGTATGACTAACTCTAAAATAAATAGAAAATAATTCTAATTTCCAATTTTATTTAGTATTTACAGTTATATAGGTGTCCAAGAGAGATATAAAAAAGCCCTGTTTTCAAATATAGGTACTTAATTTCTGTTATTTAAATCCTTGTTCTGTATTTAGGGATTTAAGATAGCTTTATTCTATCTGTTACTCCAGAGGTAAGGGCAAATGCATCTTAATGTAATTTCTGACATGCAATAGTGTTAAAAGAGAGAGAGAGAGAAAAGAAAAGAAATAGCTATGCACATAAAAATTTCGATGGTAAATAATACTTTTCATTTTCAATTAAAACCCAATATAATTCTATTTGTTTCTACATAATTAATAACAGAAAACTCATAGTAGAAATATTTCATTGCTTGCCTCCAAAAAATTGTTGACATCCTCTGTTGCCATCTGTCATGGTGGTCATTCCTCTGTGTTTGATGGAACTAGGGAAGTATTAGGGTTCTATGGATTGATGAAGGAAAATACTCTGTGCTCTTGATTTCTGGTATTTATTTCCTTGGTCCTGTTAAAAAGGATACCAGGGTGAATTTACAAATTTTGAACACAACCAGTTATTCTATATTCTTTTACATTCATATTAAGGAAGTTTTGAGATTTTTATGCAGTCTCATTTAAAATCACAGAATTTTAGAATCTAACAGAAAGGATATGCTAAATTTAAGACTGAAGATTCAAAAACAGCTCTATCAATCAGGTAATTCAATCCACTTTACAGTACAGAAAACCCAAATCAAAAGAGGTTAAATAAACAATGTTACAGTCAGTTAATGGCAGATCTACCATGGGAAAACATTTCTTTTCACCCCAAGTTTGGGAGCTCTTTCCCCTAGAAGGGGCTCTTTCCCTCTCTGAGAAAAAAGAGGATAGACAGGCAAGAACACTATAATGACCAAGCTGATTTCTTAGCCCTAATACATAAAGAAAAATCTAGAACAAAAACAAAAAAGCATGAGAGCATAATACTTAGATTATTTGTTCATAGCACATCATTTGCTCAACAGATACCTAAAAGATATTATTTTGTTAAAATATAAATAGGATATTATTTTATTAAAGAAATACAGTATTGGCAACATAGTGAGACTACGTCTCTGCAAGAAAAAAAAAAAAGTCAAATATGGTGTTGTATGCCTATAGCCGGCTCAACCAGGAGGATCACTTCAGCCCAGGAGGTCGAGGCTGCAATGCACTGCAATCATGGCATTGCACTCCAACGAGGTAACAGCAAGACCCTTTCTTGAAAAAAGAAAAAAGTATCTATATGACCATACGTTCTTAAATTTCTGAGTTTCATCCATTGTCATGATCACTTATCTTTTCCAATCCTCTTCACTGCAACCATCTACTATCCATATAACAAAAGAGTGATTTTTAAAAATTATCTGCAGAGCAACAGAATGACATTTTAAAAAAGAAAACTGAATTTAAGACTCCCTTGTTCAAAATCCCCCAAAGACCTTCCACAACATCTAGGGTGAGGACATGGATCCTGGTTACCTTTCTGAAAGCCTATCTGATCATTCTTCCTCTTGCGTGGTATTCTACAGTCTTAGTGGCCTTCATGTTCTTCTTTAAACATGCTAAACACTCCTGATTTAAGTCTGACCTTGGTCTTCTCTCAGATTGGAATGCCTCTTTAGATAATCACATGACTGTTCCCACTGACTAAAACACTCTTTTTCCTTGAGCACTCCTGGAATGTTTCTGGAATATACTCAAATATCACTTTCTAGAGAGGTTTCTCTCACCATTCTAGCTAAAAAACCTCTGCCTCCAACTTTTACCCTCTTTACCATTGGCCCTCATTCTCTACATACATACCTGCTTTATTTCCATTCACAGTATTTATGATTCCTAGATATTATGTAGCCCCACAATCCCTGTGAAGCCAGATATCTTTTGGAATTAAGCATTTTTGGCAGTTTTAAGGTAATAAAGTACATGTCCTATAATTATGCAACATCTCCTTACCCTCTCCCCTGTTGTCCAAGAGGTCTGGGAAAGCACCCTGAAGTCAAATATGTTAATAGCCTTGCAGAAAAATATATGCTCATTCTAAGTGAGATTTTTTTAAAGACTATAACTAGGGGCAGAGCAAGATGGCAGAATAGAAATCTCCACTGATTGTCTCCCCCAAGCAAGGACACCAATTCAACAACTATCTATACACACAAAAAAGCACCTTCATAAGACCCAAAAATCAGGTGAGCACTCACAGTACCTGGCTTTAACTTCATATCACTAAATGAGGTACTGAACAGGTAGGAAAAACAGTCTTAAATAGCTCATGCCACCTCTCCCACAGCCGCAGAGTCATGGTGTGGAGGGTGTTTGGGTGCTGAAGAGAGGGAGATTGCAGCATTTATGAGGCACTGAGCTCAGTGCTGCCCTATTATAACAGAAAACAAATCTGGACGAAACGCAGCTGATGTCCACCCACAAAGAGAGCGTTTTAACCAGGCCTGCTGAGCCAGAAGGGAATTGCCAATCCCAGTGGTTCAAACATCAGTTCCTGCAAATCTCACCAGTGCAGACTAAAGTGCTCTGGGACCCAAAATAAACTGGAAGGGCAGGCTAGGCCACAAGGAACACAATTTCAAGGCAAGTCCTAATGTTGAACTTGGGCCAGAAACAGTGGACTGGGGAGCCATGTGACTTACTGAGACACCAGTCAAGGTAAGGAAAGGAGTGCTGGTATCACCTCCTCCTAACCTCAGGCTGTACAGCTGGTGACTCAAAAACCCATTCACTCCACTTCAGGAGAGAAGGAAGAGTAAAGACAACTCTGTCTGGCAACTTGGATACCAGCTCAGCCACAACATGGTAGGGCACCAGAGTTATGAAGCCCCCTTTCCAGACCCTGCCACTGAATCACATTTCTAGATACACCCTGGGCCAGAAGGCAACCTGCAGCCTTGAAGGGAATAACCCAGTCCTAGCATTCATCACCTGTTAACTGAAGAGACCTTGGTCCCTGAATAACCAGCAGTGATACCCAGGTACTACACTGAGGGCCGTGAGTGAGACTCTGAGACTTGCTGGCTTCAGGTGAAACTAAGCACATTCCTAGCTCTGGTGGGTACAGGGTGAGACTCCTTTTACTTGAGAAAATCAAAAGGAAAAGCAAAGAGAACTTTGTCTTGCACCTTAGGTACCAGCTCAGTCACAGGGGTTAGAGCACCAAGCAGGTTCTTGGGGTCCCAGGTTCCAGGACTTGTCTATTGAATGATATTTCTGGGCTTGCCTTGAGTCAGAGGAGAGCCCACTCCCCTGAAGTGTGAGTCTCAGGCCAGGCAGCATTCAACACAAGCTGACTGAAGAACCCTTGTGCCTTAAGGGAACATCAGTGGTACAGTACTCCCCATGGAGATGTGGTGGTTGCAGCCACAGGGTGAGGCTCCTCTGCCTTTAAAAAGGGGAGGCAAGAGTGTGGAGCACTACAACTTATGAGTTCAGTGCCAGCTCAGTCACAGTACGATAGAACACGAGGTAGACCTCTAAGATTTTTTACTCTAGTCCCTGGCTCCTGGATGGCACCTCTGGACATGCCCAGGTTCTAGGGGGACCTGCCACTCTGAAAGAAAGGATACAGGAATGGCTGGCTTTGTCATCTGCTGATTGTAGAACCCCAAAGACTTGAGTAAATATAGGCTGAAGCCAGGGAGTAGTTACAGCAAGCCTCAGGTGAGACCCAGTATTATGCTGGCTTCATAATACCCAGTACAGTCCTAGTGGTGAGGGCCACAGAGGTGCTTATGTCACAATATCCCCAGCTCCAGATAGCCAAGAATAGAGAGAGACACAGAGAGAGAGAGACAAGGGTAGACAGATTCCATTCATATGGAGAATGTGAAGAAAGAAGATAAGAGTCTATGCCTAGTAATCCAGAGAATCGTTCTGGATCTTGACCAGGGCCATCAAGGCAGTACCTTTATGAGTCTGCAAGAACTACAGCATTATCAGGCTTGGGGTGCCCCTAAAGCAGATATAGCTTAGATCACAACATTTAGATCACAACAATAAAGTCCTTTTGAATATCTGGAAAGCTTTCCGAAGAAGGACAGCTACAAATAAGGCTAGACAGTGAAGACTACCATAAATACCTAACCCTTAAATGCCCAGACATCAAAGAACATTTACTAGCATCAACATCATCCAGGAAAACATGACCTCACCAAATGAAATAAGTAAGGCACCAAGGACCAGTCCTGGGGAAACAGAGATATGTGACTTTTTAGACAGAAAATTCAAAATAGCTGGTTGATGAAAGCCAAAGAAATTCACGACAACAGAGAGAAGGAATTCAGAATTCTATCCAATTAATTTAACAAAGAAATTGAAATAATTAAGAAGAATTAATCAGAAATTCTGGAGCTGAAAAAATGCAATTGCCATACTGAAAAATGCATCAAAGTCCTTTAATAGCAGACTTGATCAAGTGGAATAAAGAATTAGTGAGCTTGAAGATAGGCCATTTGAAACACACAGAAAAGATGATGATGAATAAGAAGTAGCAGCAGCAGCAGAAGGAGGAGGAGGAGAAGAAAAAACAATGAAATGAAGAAGGCTAGAAAATAGCCTCAAAGAGGAACATGTAAGAGTTATTGACCTTAAAGAAATGGCAGAGAAAGAGGTAGGGGCAGAAAGTTTACTCAAATAAATAATGACAGAGAACTTCCCAAACCTATAAAAGATATCAATATCCAAGTACAAGAAGGTTATAGAACACCATGCAGAATTAACTGGAAGAAGACTACCCCAAGCATTTAATAATTAAACTCCCAAAGGTCAAGCATAAGGAAAGAATCATAAGCAGCAAGAAAAAAAGAAATAATATACAATGGAGCTCCAATACGTCTGACAGAAAAATTTTCAGTGCAAACTTCACAGGCCAGGAGAGAATGGCATGACATATTTAAAGTGCTGAAGGAAAAAACTTTTATGCTAGAATAGTATATTTGGTGAAAATATCCTTCAAACATGAATAAGAAATAAAGGCTTTCCAAGACAAACAAAAGTTGAGGGACTTTATCAACACCAGACTTTTCTGCAAGAAATGCTAAAGGGAGTACTTAGATCAGAAAGAAAAGGACATTAATAAGCAATAAATCATCTGAAAGTACAAAACTCACCGACAATAGCAAGTACACTGGAAAACACAGACTATTATGACACTGTAACTGTGGTGTGTAGACTACTCCTATCTTAAATAAAAAGACTAAACAATGAACCAATAAAAAATAACCATAACAAGTTTTAAAGACATAGACAATACAATAAAATACACACTGGGGTCTGTTGGGGCCTGGGGGGCTACAAGAGGGATAGCAGTGGGTGGGAGGATTGGGGAGGAATAACATTAGGAGAAATACCCAACATAGGTGATGGGGGAAATGGATGCAGCAAACCCCATGGCATGTGTATACCTATGTAACAATCATGCAAGATCTGCACAGGTACCCCAGAACTTAAGAAAAAAAAAAAAAAAGAAAACAATAAAAG